CTACTGCTGTGGCATCATCATCCCATCTCCAGCATGTCCCCAATCCATCACCTGAGGAACATGGATCTCTCTCACCTCCAGCATGTCCCCAATCCATCACCTGAGGAGCACAGATCTCTCTTCTCCAGCATGTCCCCAGTCCATCACCTGAGGAACATGGATCTCTCTCACCTCCAGCATGTCCCCAATCCATCACCTGAGGAACATGGATCTCTCTCCTCCAGCCTGTCCCCAATCCATCACCTGAGGAGCACAGCTCTCCCTCCCTCCTGGCCATGCCAGCCTGCTGCTCCATGTGTCACCCATGACATCAGGGTGTGTTTGAGGTGAGAGCTCCCTGCCAGGACCTGCTCTGCACAACTTGCCAGAGGTATCCCTGAGATGTTGGTTGGATTGGTGTGCTACCAAGTTCAGTGTTCATCACTCAACACCAACTTCTTTATTGTTCCTGCTGCACACCATGGAAATGCATTGCCTACAGGTGAATAAAAGTCACTGTGGTACTTTAGCTAACCAGCCATCTAGACACTCTAGGATTTATCCAAGCCTCCCCTCTTTTTTTTTTTTTTTCCTTCTAATATCTGAAGATGGTACCTTGTCCTACTTCTCTGATATCTTTCTTTTAAGATTGATTTATGGTAGCAATTTTCTCCCCATCTGCTTATCCATGCAACCTGGGGGCCCTGCAGCAGAGCATAAACTCATTCTAAAAATAAGGTGGCCTCACAAAAACCTGAAGCCATAACAGAACAGCCCTGGTGAGCCATGAGCACATCACAGACAGCACAACAGGGACCCTGTGGCACACAGCAGCCCTAAACTATTCTAGGCACAGTTTTATCTTTAGCAAGCAGATAAAAGATGACTCTTGGTTCTTCAATCTCTAAAGAATTAGAAGAAATTCACCTTGGATTAGAGTAGGGACCATGTATGAAAAGAGACAGGCAAGAGATTTCTCTATGGGAGTAATTTTTTCTCATGAACTTGTTATGATATTTCTGTGGGTTCCTGGTTATTCAAATTAATGATTTGTGACTGCTTTAAACATTTGCAGTATTAACTTACTGGATCAGAACCAAGGATTTATGGCTTCCTTTGGGGAAATCAGAAAAAAACCCATCATCCACCAGCATCACAACATTTATATTTTGTTTGGGTTTAAGGCACATCCTATGTGTAAATCACAAATAATTATCCAGACAAACTTTTAAATAACTTACCAAACATGCAGATACTGATTATAAAGTGAACAGAAAAGTGCTAATCTACAAGTTACCAACACCATTTACTTCTCAAGGGGAACTGGACTGCAAACTGCATGTTAGGTGTGCCTGTGGATACAGGGAGAGGATATTCATTCCCTACCAGAGCTGTCACCCTCCCACAAGGGAGATGGAAATGCCAGAGTGGAGAGCTCCTGACACAACTCCAGGAGCCAAGGCTGGTTGTGGAATTCAGACTTATTTTACACCAGCAATGAGTTTGAAGGGTCTTGTGAAAGTCTCAGGTAGGGCTGAAGGAGACAGAAGGAAGCTGTTTGCAACAGCTCTGCCTCACAGCCAAGCAAGGGACATCTCACTGATGCTGCTGAGTCTGCTTCTTGCACAAGCACCAAGTTCACATGGTTTAACTTCCTTTCTAAATTTATTTTTAATCCAGGAAAAATGTTCCTGGACTTTGGCATTACAGGGAACTGAGGAAACCCTTCTCAGGGCTCTGGATCTCTTAGCACAGCATGCACAGCCTGATTATTTTTAAGAGCTCCAGGAATAAACACCATTAAAAAATTCCCTAATCCCAGAAAGTTCCCTAATCAGCATAGTGTTAAGTTCATGATTGGACATGGCAGAGGTTAAGAAAGCATCTGCCATGAAAGGAATGAAAAGCCTGGAAGGATTTGGTTTTAATGCACTGAGTATGGTTACCAGTTAATGCAGAGTACAAACTTCAACTGTGTGCAGAAAAGCTGCAGTACAGAGTCTGAGAACAGATGACCCTGGAAAAGTTCTGTTGACCAGTGTATTTTAACACTGAGAAATGGTGATTTTACCTTTTATCATCTCCATGCAGAACTCTCAGTGAACTTCTGAGGTAAGGCAAATTGCTGCAAATATCATGGTTCTGTTCCCACTGTGTCTCTTCCCCTTTTTTTCCCTTAAACCTGGATCTAAACATAGAATCAGAGTCATTAGGTTGGAAAAGACCTGTGAGATCATTGAGTCCAACTCTACACCTAGCACTGCCAAGGCCACACTAAACCATGTCTGACAGTTCTGTCCTGCTCCCCCTGACACCAATTCCTGAGATTGTGACCCTCAGGGCAAAGGAAGTCATTCCTGGCCAAGGCTCTGGACAAATCCTGAACAAATCCACAGGGACAGAGGAAAGGATTAAGACAGTGTGCCCAGCTAAGCTTGCATACAGAATAATGTAGATAGTTTTCAGTCCAGATCAGTCTCTACTGGTATTTGCTCTAATTTAAAATAATAATTGAAAAAATACTCCTTAAAAAAAGGAAAGAAAAATAAAAGGCTGATAATTGCAATAACTTTGTCAGTTTGCTTCCTTTGCTAAACCAGAAAACTTCTGTAACTTTCCTTCCTATCCAGAACACAGCCTTTGATTGCTTATGCAGAAAGCTGGCTTGTGATTATTTGAACACTGATATCTGGTAAGTCAAGTATTTTTTCAAATAAAAATTCTATGCATTCTATGGGACACCTAGAGAACCAGCCTGGGCCTCTGCCATCATTGTGAGCACAGAAAATCACACTATTAGATTGTAATTATTAGATTCTGACATTCCCCTGGCTCAAGGTACATTTTTTTGTTATTTAGTGTCAGTTTAAATTTGAGGATGAAGGCAGGACTTGGATCAAATGAAAGGGAGAAATGATCTGAATCAGAACATCCCTCTGGGCAGGCACCACAAACCAGCTCAGGTCTGTTGTCACCTGAGATGATCCCATTGCCAATCTGGTCTCTGAATCCCTCCTTCCTGCTTCTTTTTATTAATTTTAAGTTACTCCTCCAAATTTTCCTTTTTAATTACCTTGAGAAAGCCAACCCTTCTGGCTGTGCTCATCCCTTTTCAGCCCTCTGGGAACAACAAAACACTTTCAGTGCTGCCCTGAGAAGGGAAAAAGTGAAGGCAGGGCCCAAGACCCTGTAATGCAGCGAGAGGCTCTGTGGGGGAACTGCAAAGCAAACATGGAGCCAGGGAGTGTTTCCCCATCTCCAAGCAGGAGTGCCACCAGTTGCTGCTCTTTGCCAAAGCAGTGAATGAATTTCCATTGCTGATGGGCTCTGGGCTGCCAGCCACATCCTGCTCCCTGCACAAGGAGGTGACACTGCCCTGCTGCTCAGAGAAACAGGGGCCTGACCTTGCCCTGCCTGCTCCCTCTCTGCAGTGTATGAACTGCTCCTGCCTCCTGTGCTGACCTAAATACTGCAAAATGTTTGGTTTACAAACATATCAAGGGAAAAGTGGTTTTGCCCTTGCCCTACATTTCCCCTTCTCTTCCCAGTTTAGTGTCTCTAACATATTTCACTTACACAAACCATGGAAACTTGCTTTTCACATAACATATTTTAGTAATTTGCTGGAATTCATAGGCTTGTGAGGGGACTCCATCTTCACTCTTTAGGTGGCCAGCATTGAAACAATTTATTTATATTAAATAAAGAATTAACAATAAAAAATTAAAATTATCATGTTTTGATTAAAGTTTGTAAGGCTCTTTTTCAAAAAATAAAAATTCAGCCTGTTAGGAAAACAGGAAAGTTTCTTGTTATAGCTTATAATGCATAAAATAGAGACTCACCTCTTCTGACATTCATTTTTATTCCATCAGACTATTCCCTCTGCACACCTGCTCTCTAGCTCCATTTGTCTGATTAATTATCCTCACTTTCTCTCTACAGCCTTTGACAAGTTCCTCTTCCTTCTCCAGCTTCATCCCTGTTTTTCACCTTGTGTGGCTTAAATCCCCACCCTAAATACACTGGCTCCTCTCAAAATGAAACATCACAGAAACTACCAACAAACAGTTTGAAATAAACAGTAAATAGCAGAACATCTTGGCTATAAACCAATTTTTTGGGAATTGATAAATTAAGCATTTTTTAGAGTAGGAGCTGGCTGAGTGCTTTAGATTTCCATGTGATCAGTACTCCCATGGAGAAAAAGTCACAACCAAAGAGGTCTTTAGGGCAGCATTTCACAAATTATTTCCCTTAAATGACAAGGATTTTGAATTGATAATAATTTCTAATACAAATGCTGAGCAGCATTTTCTGTATTTGAAAGTATCACATAGGTGCATTTCAGTTTATTTTTCCCAACATCAGAATTGCCTGGTAGTATCTGCTATAAATTAATTCTTCTCAGGATTCCACAATTATTATTCCTCTCTTGTCCTGCTTTCAGTTTGCTGAACCTTGCCAAAAAAAAAAATGTGCTGTTAAACGAAAAGATACCTGTGCTTCATCACTCATGCAGCTTTTAATATGGAAAACTTTAGATTTTTATTAGTAAATAATTGAGAAGCAGATTTATCACCTTCACAAAGATGGGTCTGAGTGTTCCTTGGGCAGCTGTAGTGGAGAGGACCTAAATGGTTGGGTGTTCCAAGTGCATCTGGGATACCTGGTTGTGTGTTTGGTTTCCTCCTCTGCCCAAAATCCATGTAACCTTTCCAAGTCTTTCAGCTCCAAATTCTCCAAGGACAGTGAGTTCTTGAGTATCTTTGAAATCACAGCAGTCTCACTATTCTCCTTTCACCATTTTGTGAGACTGGTAAAGGTCTGAGCATCGCCATGGGGGGGACTTCAGAGGCAGAGAGGGGGTGAGTGGCACCACAGAGGCAGAGCCACAGCAACGGGTCAGTTGTGCTGTGTTGTGTTTGTTGTGTTTGTTGTGCTGTGTTGTGTTTGTTGTGCTGTGTTGTGTTTGTTGTGTTTGTTGTCCTGTGTTTGTTGTGTTTGTTGTGCTGTGTTGTGTTTGTTGTGCTGTGATTGTTGTGTTGTGCTGCTCACCTGTGTGAGGAGCTCTGTGGGACATCACCCACACTGTTCCTGCTCTTGGGCAGAATGGAACAGGGTATGACTAAAGGCCAAGTTGCACAGAAACATTTACAAGCAATTGCAGAGTCTCACATTCCAGCAGCTTGTTCCTCCACACAGATCTAAACCACCACTCTGCACATTTTAGATGCTCATTTCATTCTTTTGCCCTGGAGTTCTGGCTGTGATTCATTCTTTGCATTTAACAAAGAGAATCAGATCACATATATAAGGTGAGTTGTGGGTGTCCTGACAGAAGGATTTGGCCTTATATGTCCCACCTCCAGATATTTCTATCCCCTTTTCCTTTTTTTTCCCCTCCAAGCATGTTGTTACTGTCCATGAGTCATTTCATTAATCTGGAGAGAAGGCCAGAAAACAAGTGAATAAACACCCTGCTTCACAACCTTCTGCTGCTCTGTTTACTTCTCTGCTAATGAATGAACAGCTGAAAACCAGAATCATCCTATCTGGGGACATTCAAAGGGACATTATCTCCTCTTTGTCAATGGCTGGTGCCTGGCCCAGCCAGTGGCTGCACTGCAGGATCAGAGGATGATCTCTGCATGCTCCTGATAACTCTCACACAGTGAGTGCAATGACTGTAAATCACAGAGCAGTCACACAACAGTCTGGGTTGGAAGGGACCTTAATCCCAGAAACAATGGAAAGGAACATACATGCAAGTCAAAAAGAAGAGCACAGGAATCTTTTACCTTTCCTATTAAAAAAAAAAAACAAAAAACCCCCCCAAAAACCCCCAAAAAACCCCAAACACAAAAAGCTGTGATGCCAGACACAGGGGCCTGCCTGCAGCAGCACAAGGTCAAATCTCATGTGAACCAGGCTGGAACTCAGCCCATGCTCTGAGTCCTGGGGTTGGCTTTGTGCACATGGCCAGGGCTCTCCATTTATCATGGATCTGGCTGGCAGCCACCTGAAATGTCCTGCTCCCCCTCCAGAGCTGTCAGAGCCATCCTATCTCCAGTGACATGAATAAAGACAGATGATCAAGGACTAAATGAGAAACAAATTAATGTAGTCTCAGTTTTGCCTCCCCAGTTACAGGAATTCAAGGTCTATCTGCCACCATGGCAGCCTGGGTGTGACTGGCCCTTGCAGCCCTGCAGCTGCAGGTGCAGATGAGCAGTGCAGCTCACACTCCATCCCAGCTCATTTGGGATTCACAGAATCAATGAGCCTCCCTCAAAAGCACAGACAGAGCTAAACCTTAGGACCATAATTTCTAACACTCTAAGGTGTTTAGTAAGTCCCTTTCAACTTATAAGGATAGGAATGTTACCTTCATAAAAGAAATATCTGATGCCCAGAGATGGCACTCTAAGTAACATGCAGATTTCTATGAATTATTTTCAAAATAAGGCATTAAACTAAGCTTGTGCACTTCACATATTCCTTCCCCTTTGTTGCTACATGTACTTGAGATTTTGGAATTTAGATTAACGTTTATATTTCTGCACTTTGATGCACAGTTGAACATACCCTGCTCTGATCCAATTTCAAAGAGAATCCATTAATTTTTATATCACGGAGGGTGATGTTCAACCCCTCAGCTAAACACACAGTCCAACAGAACATGAAATTCAACATTTGATGACTTCTTTTCCTGCTCCCATTGCATATCAGGACAGCAGCTTGTACATGAATCCTCATGTGAGTCATGTACAATATTTCCATTTTTGTGACAATTGGTCGCACGTGATGTTTTTGACCCAATTGTACACAAACAGAGGAATCTGCCTAAAATATATCCCTGTCTGTGATATTGGCACAGCACAGTGAGTTGTGTCACCTGGACTCCTCAAGACTTACAAAGATGGACAGAGCCTCCAAACCTACCTGAGACAGGACGTCCTTGTGGCTGGCAGCATTTGAGATCAAGTCACTATTTCATCACACTCCTGGATGGCTTGTAACACACAAACCAACACAAAGCTGGCATTCAGCACATCAAACAGCCTTTACCTAATGTAAGACTATTTCAGCAGAACATAATTTTCTTATAATCCAATTGTAGCAGAAAAAAAAAAAACCCCAGAAGAAACCCCAAATATGACATAGAAATGGTCGTGATCTATCAGGCAGCTTCCCACAACACTGCAGTTTCCTGCAGAGCTGGGGACAGAGACTGAGCATCATTTACAGGCCCACAACTCCCATACTGCCAGGCCTCACCTGCCTGGGCAGAACAACACAGGCAATTCCAGCCAGGGCTCTTTCCCTCTGCTGCTCTCCTCCTCTTCCTTGGTTGGACAAAGCAATGGCAGAGGGGAAAGAGAAAACTGAGACATGGAAGCACACAGCATTCACTGGCAGGGAGAACCTTACCTGTGTGATGCTGTGGGAAAGGGCAAAGAGAACTTGACAACAACATTTTTAGAGGCTTTGTGCCAGAGTACCTACTCCTATGTACATAAATATGTATTTGTGCTTCTGAATTGAAAGCATTCGGGTCACAAAACTTGAAATACTTCTGTTTGTAGATTACTTTAGGGTATATAACTTCAAAGATCAAAGCAACACAAAAGTCACTCTTGACATGGACATCATCATCCAAACAGAAAATTAGCATGGCTTTTTTTAATCATTTAGGCAGGATAGTATTTCTGATTAATAGAAATTTGAATTAAATTTCTCCTTTCATGTATGCAGCAGTTAATTCTAATCAAGCAAGCTCAAGGTCTTCCGTTGCCTGGATAGTATTAATTAGATTCTTCCACATTATGACTTTGTCATATGCATCCCTACATGGCATACAAATATCAACTTTCTTATAAACAAATATGAACTTTCCTTTCAAATTTCACTGGAAATAATTTTCTGGTGGTGGGAACAGAGAAAAACACAAAATCTCAGGAATCCTACAAAAAAAAGTATCAGGCTTAAAAGAAAATGCTTTGAAATTAATTTACTTAGTACAGAACATGACCACCATGAAGGTTCTGCACAAAAGAAAAAGTAATATTCATGTGGGACTGTGGTTATGGAAATGAGGTTTGATGTGTATAGTATGAGATACTATAAACCAAACATTAATGAAGTGCTGACTGAGGATGGCTGAGCTCCTGCTGGCCAGGCACATCAGTGTCCAACAGGAGCTGCTGGAAGCTCCAAGGAGCAGCAGCACATTCCTTGTGACACAGGCATGCACCTCCTGAGCTAATCCCTGCTTGCTGTGCCAGGATCCTCAAGGAACAGCCTAAAAACTGACTTGGTGCAGGAATGACAAATCATTGGAGAAAACATCTGAGAGCTCTCCCGAGTGCCAGCCAAGGTTGGAGGGGATGCAGAGAATCTATTATGAAAGAAGGAGGCAGACCGAGCTGAGTCACTTGAAATCAGGAAATGCAATTCCTTCCTACTCCTCAGATTTAAAATATCCTACAGCATAAAACTTCTGTAGGATCATTTTTTTATGTTTAGGGAAGAAACTGAAATACTGCAGTCAGGTCTCTCTAAAGAAAGTATTCATGACTTCCAGCAGTATAAAATACATCCAACTATTGAAATCAAGGAGCAGAAGAAAATCAGAGGATTTTGAAGGGCAATAACCAGACCACCTCATTTTACTCTTTTTAGTTGGGTGCATTTCTTCGTAGACACCTTCTGTTTTCCTCAGAAGGTGATTTTTCCTACAATTAGCCCTTGCTTAGAACTTTCCTCCTTACCATTTTACAGACAATGAAGTTTTTTGCTTCCTGCCAGGTAACGGGATTCCTTGAAACTCTTCCAATCCTTCACACCACAAGGAGTTCAGAAATAAAAGAAGTGGTGGTGCAACTGCAACTGAGCCAAGAAAAGAGAAAAAAAACCTTGCATCATGGAATGGTAGCCTTGGGACAACTAATTAGAATTTTATTCAAGACAAAAGTCAAACAAGTAGTGGTAAAGTGCAAGATAGAAATGCAAAATTCCAAAAGCAAAAATGAAAGGTAACTTCACCTTACAAACTTTCTGCAAGCAGCTTACTCAGGCAACTTTAGGAGAGCAGAAGTTAATCTGCAAAGATTATTTATTCAGTTATTAGTTGCTCTAAAAAAAATAAAAACTCTATTAATTTGGTTCACTAGCAGCATTTACTCAAAAGTTTCATTTATAAACATCAAGCTTATCCTTGCTTTAGACTAACTCAGAAAAAACCCTGGAGTCTATACTGTAGATCTATCTTTAGGAAAACATAATTATTTCTGAATCCAGGAACTGCTCTGGGTTGGAGCAGCAGCTAATATCCTAACCAGAATTTCCTTGATCATTACTCAAGCAGTAGCATTTTTATTTAAGAAAACCTTAGTCCTCCTCCCCCACCAGTTTCCCCATTTCTCTTCTAACACATTCCATTCTAATTTTAGTCTTTTGAGAAGGTTTTTTTCCAGATCAACCCACTCTTTTTCACATTTAAATAATTTTCAGTTTTTAAAAGAGCTCAGTTTTAGCAGGTGCTTCAGTAGCTAGGCAATAAGAAGTCTCTTGGGAACATCTTCCATGTTTCCCAAATGGATTAGCCTGGAAATTTGGGGAGAACACATTAGACAAAATAACCATGCTGCTTAAGAGTTTCATTCCAGCTCTGAAATTCAGAGAAAGAAATGCAGTCCCCAAAAGAAGCATTTGTGCTCCCTGATAACAAATGAAGAAACAGCTGCTCCACTGGCACTACTGGGATGGACCTTGGAGGCAGGAAAATTCAACAGACACACCAGAAGCCAAACATGGAAGCAAACAATGCAGCTCCTCCTTTCTGGCATTATCCAGCTCCAGTGTAGCCCCAGGAGCAGGAATTCTCCCTGGTTTGCAGCTCTGGCCCAGTGAGTGCATTTCCCTGGCTCACAGTGGGAAAGGTCCCAGCATGGTGTCGGAGCAGCAGAGATTCCACCAGGACCTGCAGCCCCACCCAGCTAAAACACGAGGAGCTGTTGTTATCAGCAGCTCTGGGAGCTGAAATCAAGGCCAAGACACCTTTAGGACACCTCTCCCTGATAAAGGACAGCCTGGCCCTTCCATCATCTCCAGCTATTTGAAAGACACCTTTTCCCTCTTTTGGCTCCTGGAAACTCAAAGCACTGCAGTACATTTCAGCAACTGCTTCTTCCTGTGGTCCCAAATTGCAGGAAGAAACCCACTAACAGTGATGTCTCTGTGCCTTCATGCAGTTAGAGCAGACCTGTGAGACTTTGGCATCTGGCAGATTCATGAGGCAGGAAATTTAAAAATAAATTTAATGCTAGGCATCATTTACAGATTTACCAGAATAGATGTTCATCTACAGTCACAGGGTTATCTTCCACATTTCCCTAGAGTGCAGCAACATCCTCCTTCTCCAGTGCTAAAAAACACTAATAAAGAGTTGAATCTATCTTGCTATGCCTGTACAGAGGTAGCACTTGCAGTAAAAAAGTACGTCGGAATAGAACACAACAGCAGACATTTCTTATCTTATTCTTCAACATGACATAGCATCCCCCATTTCTGCTCCCTTTGCTCCATTAAATTCCTCTAACCACACAAACTGAAAATAAATAATCCTATTTTAAAGCCAGACTTAATTCTCAAAAAGAATTTTCTTACCTGGTGCAAAGATTTCAGGGAAACATTTCCTCAGCAAATGTTATTACCTAGATTTGCTCTAACCTCTATTTTCCACAGGTGAGCTACATTTCAGTATGGATATGAGGACTTGCCTGCTGGCTTGCAAGATTTTTTAACAAGATTTTTTTGTTTTGAGTGTGTTCTCTGCCTTTCAGGTTTGCTTCATTGCCTTCATCCTTTCGAGGCTCTCTAAAAGAGAATTAACCATGTCCATTCCCAGCTTTGCCAGCTCCACTACTGAGAATAGTTGGGTGAAGAGGGGAAATATTGAAGCCTAAAAAAAAAAAATTCTGATATTTCCACAATAAAACCCCACAAAACATTTAATCTTAATAAAAAAAGAGCTCTCCTGCACGTGAAGTCATTCCCTGCTTGCTTCCTTCTCTTTGTCCCTGAGGTTTGTTAGCTGAGCTGGCTCCATCCTTGGGCTAAGCAGGAGAACACAGGAGAGCAGCTGAGCACACATTAACACCTCCTCCCCACCTGGACCACAGGTCTAAAACACTACAAGGGCTCATGATGCCCTGCAAGTAATTAAAACATTTGGCTCTCTCCTCCTCACTGAACCTTCCTCTTCTCAAAAGCACCTCTGTCTAAACATGGGCCAAATAAAGTGTGAATTGAAAAGAGGACAGGGAAATTAGATCAAACTGAGTATGTAGCATTCTCATTATCCCTCATGTCAGACAAGTCAGAAGCACTTATGTAATTGGGCCTCCAGACTCAAGGCAGTGAAGTGTTAAGACAAAAAAGCAATCCCAGGACTGCATGCTGGGTTTTGACAAATAGAAAAACACAGAATTAGGCCAAGAGCTTCTCCTTAATGTGAGTTTTTAATTGTAGCATGTCAAACCCAGGTTCACCATGTGGCACATGTGGTCAGAGAGGTAAGAAAGTGTGTAGTGCAAAAGCTGGGAGAGGGAGGGAGGGGATTCCCTGTGTCCCCGGGCACACATTTGTGTGTGGATCAGAGCAGAGCCCTGCTGAGAGCCCATGACCCACAGTGCACAGAAACACAGGGGGAGGCAGCGGCCCATGAGCAATCCTTGAGAAAAGGGATGGGGGTGGGGAATTGTGCACAGGCCTTTTTTTAGCTTCTGCTGGAAAAAACAAATAGACCTTTTAATCTGTGCTCTCCTTGAAGCTTTCTCTATTGACCATTCATTTCTTCTGTCCCTTCCCAGCTCTTTACCTCCTCTATATGGCTGATGAATATGCAAATGCATAATCAGTTCTGTAATAGCCTATCCTTTCTAAAAACAGGCTATAAATTTGGATCCTGAGCAGCAGGTTCTAAAAAGCCTATTATATGACATGGCTGGGGGAAGAGACCAAACAGCAGAGCTCACCAGAGCTCTTTAAAACCTGTGTGAATGCAGAGAGGAGGAGGGTCCTCCCCAGAGCCTTGCTGGCAGCCAGAGGGACAACACCTTCTGCAGAGCCATGCACCAGAGCAGGGCCTGAGACACTGCAGGGGAGCTGAGGGCATGTTCAGATTTGGGGAGCTGAGGGCAGATTGGCTTTGGGGAGCTGAGGGCAGGATCAGATTTGAGGAGCTGAGGGCAGGTTGGCTTTGGGGAGCTGAGGGCAGGCTCAGTTTTGGGGAGCTGAGGGCAGGCTCAGATTTGGGGAGCTGAGGGCAGGCTCAGTTTTGGGAGCTGAGGGCAGGCTCAGTTTTGGGGAGCTGAGGGCAGGCTGGCTTTGGGGAGCTCTCAGAGCCACGGGGCAGGGTACTGGTGGTGCGGTGGGGCCGGGTGGAGCCGAGCCCATCGCATGCTCTGTCCATCCCTACACCTCCATGGAGCACACAGGCCCTGCTGGGGCACACAGGCCCTGCTGGGAAATGCCTGCCCCCCAAACCTGGTCCCTGGCAGCCCCTCCCAGCTGCAGGTGCCACAGAGCCAGGTACAACACGAGCTGTCCTGCTCCACTGGAATGCAGAAGGCAGCAGTGCCTGGAGCAGGGCAGCATTTTGAGGCAGCTGTTCCCCAGCTCCCAAGGAGTCTCCTCCTTCCCTCTGTGCAATAAACACAAACCCTTCTGTCCAATACTTGCATACACTTCCATGTCTGCCATTTTGAGGCCCTCCTCTGGTTTCTGCAGGGCTTTACAGCATTCCTGGGTGCTGTTGCTGCAGGGTAGAAGGCAAGAACTGTTAGTGTGAGTTTAATGAGATGGGATTGTCCTGCTACACAGGGACAGAAAGCTGAAGGTGCTGTGCCAGGTGCCTCAGTTCCAGCTTCTGATCTGCGGTAAATTCTGGAAGCCCACAGGAAAGAATCAGGCCCAGGTGTGTTTTACAGGAACAGTGGGTACACCCAGGAACAGACACACCTTTAAGCCCCAGAAAGAACTGACAGGCCAGGTGGGAACTGAGAACTCCTGCTCAAACCTTGGCCAAGGCAGAGGAAAAAAAGTTCGTTTGCAACAGTTTCAGTGGCCCTGTCCCTGAGGCAGACAGGACAGTGCACTACACACTGCTTGCCCTGGGAACATCCATCACCCTGCTGGGGCACAGAAATGGAATGGCAGCAATAATGTACATACCTCCCTCAGAAAAATTAGATAAAGGGACAGAAACTTGGACCTGGCTCTAATTCCAACTGCTGCATCCTGAACACATCACAACTCTTCATTTGCAGGTAGTGAAATAATATTTGCATAATTCATTGGAGTAATATGGCAAAACAAAAACATAAAGGACATGCTATAATCACAGATACCCAAAACATGAAATAATTTATAAACACAACTTTACAGAAATTGATATTTAAAACCAAAACCATGTGATCTTATAAAATGTTCAAAGTTGTGCAGACGTTCAATGGAACAATCATGGAACAATTTCCTTCTCCCCTTCCCTGTCACCTTCAACACAATGTATCTCACAAAGCAATGCAAACTCTGCCACAACCCAACAAAGCCAGGGATGACAGGAAGAAGGAATGTTAAAAACTGATTTTAATAAATCATATTACAAAACCCTAGGACAAGTTCACAAAGGAGAAGTGAGCTCTCATTCACTACTCTGAAGATGGGAACTGGGCTCCCCAGACAAGGTCCAAAGCCTTGAGCTGAGCTTTGCTGTGTGTCACTGCTCTGACAATTCAGAGCCACTCTGGAGCCCTGTTTTTCTTTTTGTCTTTCTGCACTCTTGCAAGCTTATTAACACAGTACTGTGTTCCTACCTCAAAGGTGTACTTGCTTGCATCACTGGAAGAACATCATATTCATCCCAAACTCTGATAACACTTTCACAAATATTTGCTTCACCTAAACTAAAAATAAAGCCAAACTCCAAAATACAGTGAGAGAAAATATTTTGATCACAAAATAAAACATACCAGCAACCCAAGGCCGGGTTCCCATGAAATAAGAAGAATTAAAATAGGAAAAAAACAATGGGTGGATGTACTTAAAAGTAATCTTCCTTAAGTAGTTAAAATCTTTGGATCCTGAAACACCACCAAATCACCATAAATAAAGTACCATAATCCCTGCTCCTGACCCCAGGAAACAAACCAACCCCAACACCCCACAATTTGCTGTGATCAGCACATCTCAGGCACAGGATCTGGAGATAATTACCAGAAGGGATGCTGGCAGATTACAGGGTCCATTCAGAGAACATGCATTTGCCACTTCTTCCCCAAACTTCAGAAGTCTTTCTTCTAAAGCAATCCCTTGCACGTCCAGCTGCACGCCCTGGAGGTTGTGGATCCAAGGGGAACAGCAATATTCTCTGCAGGATGCTTTCAACTACTTAAATCCTGACTGAAACTCTTCACATAAAGTACCAGTTAAATTGAAAACATTACAAGAGAGGGGTCTGACAGTGGCAAAGATACAACATAGTGGCTACAGCTCAGAAAATTTACATGTTATCAAATGGGAATCCATGACAAACTCAGATCTTCACATGAGACTATACAGAAGACTTAATGGAAATGGAAATGAATGGATGCTTTTTCCTGTAACAAGAATATCTGTTTACAGTTTAGGTGATATTCTGTAACTATAGGAGGTAAGTTTGGAAATATAGACTATTACCAATTCTACCAAACTACTAAAACACTCTTAGCAGAACACTTGGCACTTTCCTATTCCCCAGCTGAAAACAGCAGCAGAAGTTACTCTTGTAGATGGCTGTTAAAGCCTCAGTGCATTAATGTGCTGAGACTGTCTCCTGTTCTCTCCTCTTGTCCTACACAGCTAAAGCCAAACCAAAAACCTGTAACATTTCTGGTATTACTGTACCTTCCCTTGCAATATGCAACAGATTCATGTCAGATCCATAAGTCTTCAAAAGTCATTCAAATTATCAAAACATTATCACACTGTTCCCTCTTTGCAGGACAGCATCTTCATGGTCTCACTGCCTTTGTGGTGTGGGCTGAGGTGACCCCATGATTTTAACTTGCTCTGTTTAACTTTCACCCTGCACCCCCAGGTCCCTCCTGGCTCCTGCCCTCACTGGTTGTTGCAGCCCGGGGCGGAGGAGGCGCCCGCCTGCTTCTGCTTCTTGCGGCGCTTGTTCAGCAGGCGGTTGTTGGACGTCTTCAAGTCTTTGATTTTCACCTGATCATAGTCCACCCTCATGGTAGCCAGAGCACTGGTCATCTCCTCCTGAAAGCAAGCAAGCAATGTAGTGAAGCCCCTGAGGCAGTGAGTGCATGGTCACCCCACCCTAGAGCCCGGAGAGGAGGGACACAAGGAGCCCTCTGTCCCCCCTGGGCAGCCAGGGCTGAGCCCTCTGTGCTCTGCACCAGGAACCAACCACTGGTGCCTCCTTCCACCAGGGCTCAGCAGGAGCTGCTCTCACAGCAATTCACAGGGAGCACACAGGACCATGCTCTGCTGGCCTAAATTCCACCTGTCCCTATCCCAGCACCTCTCCCTGGCTGGCTCTGCGCCTCCACACAAAGTATGTGCTTCAAATTCACACACCCCCTTAGTCTGAATTATGCTTAAGTACAGGAACATTCTAAACTTTTTAATAAGGTTGTAAAGAAAGATCTGCTGAAGTAAACAAATGTCTGAGCATTTGGTTCAGGAAAGGAAAAACAATTCAGTATCATGAGTATGCTGGTAGCTCGAGGGAATACCTCTGGGACCTACACAGAAGCACAAGCATAAGAAATTCTCAGAAACATGGAAAATAAGGCAGCTAAGTGAAAATATCTGCTTGATCTCTGACTCAAAAGGTAAATGTTGCCTAGGTCTCAAAAAAATTTTACCATTACATAGTTCAACAGCTGAGACTACACATCAGTGATTTAAATAAAATCAATAATGAATAAAATACACTATAGGAATGTTGCAATTGTCAAAATTCTAGGAACCTGAAGTGCAGAAAACTCAGAATTAATTGTAAAAGCATGTAAACCTGTTAAAGGCCAGCAGGAAAGAGTTAAGACTTTCAGTGTGCCCTACTGCAGGAAGCATTCAGCAGTCATTGGTACACACAGCAGGTGGGGCACCTGCTTAGATTAAGATAATTTTTTTTCTCTGCTCTTCCCCCCACCAAATGACATAACAAGACAAGACTAAGGTTATTCAGTGCTGTTCCACAATTCAAAAGCACTACAGAAAAGAATGCAGCTCAGCCCTCTCACCTGTCCAGTACATTTTCATCACATTCTTCACTGTAATGGAGTTCCAACTGCCCCAGCACTGTCCTCCTCCTCCCTGGGCACATGCAGAGGCTCAGCAGGAGCATCATTCATGCCTTTGATCACAAACACCATCTTTGCTGATATCTGGTGCAGCTGTAAGGCTGCCAATGAAGCTCAAATAGCATTCCTTCTTTTTTAAAACAGTTCTCATATACACTGCTGTTCTAACCAAGGCTGCTTATGGCACCCTGGTTTGACATGATTGTATTCAAAATAGCCACAGTATCCAAGGCAGCACATTTCATCTCCTAGCACTCTTGACTTAAAGAAATCTGAATTTGGATGGACTCACTTTAACTTCATCCCAGTGGTCTTTATCCTCTTGCAGGACCCGTGCAGTGTGAAGAGGAGTTGGTGGCACTGACATTGATCTCTGAGAACAAAGAAAAACACCAAAAGAATTTCTGAAAAACAACATTTGGGAAGTGATTTCTTGCTCTTCTCTGTGTTTGAAGGGCATAAAATTTGATCTAATGTATTCCAATGGCCCTCATTATTCCTGCTTCCAATCACTCCACAAATGAACTCGTGTGCAGGAGAAAAGAACCACATTCCCCACACAACATTTAAAGAACAAAAAGAGAGAGAAATCAGTGCTGAGCTTCTTTCACTCTACTCCCTTCCAGTCTGAACAACTTATCTAACCAATGTTGGATAAATTTTTATGTATGTTTTATATTTTAACTATTCATTAATCAATGTCTTAAAGTGGTTAATTTGACCTTTATCTCCTAGGATTTGTTGTAGGAGACATTTTCTTGCACATATGCATTAACTGAGATCACCACTTCATCAGACTAAGTGAGCCCCAAAGAGGAAGTGACACAATTGTTCTGAGCAAGGCACAGCTCAGAAGACAGAGCATCCACATGAAACTGAGATCTCTGCTCACCTGCCATGAAAGATCAGGAGATACTTTACATTAGAATAAGGGACAATTTCTAAAGCATGAAGCACAGTTTCCTGACTGAACTCAGAAAGAATCATGACAATTCTTGCCAGCCCCTAACCCAAACTATAATTTCATTTGGATACTCTATTTTCCTTATGCTTTCTACCCAAACTTGCTGTTTTCTGCTGTGGCTTCCTACAGCTGCATGTCAACAGAGTCTAAGGAGATGCCTGTAAAACAAACCCCACAGTGGAATCAGTGCTTTTGCTCCCCCAGGCTCAGAGCAGCAGGGCTGCAGTCACAGAAGTGAAGCAGAAATCCTGTGGACAAGGACCCCAGCTGGCCAGGGTACAGTTTTATCAAACACAGCTGGGATAAGAGAAATGGAAAACAAGCAGACTGGTTGCAGTGCTGTCCCTGTCCCTGCTTCCCTGTGGAAGGTGCTTTTCTGCTGCTTGTTAAAAAAATCTTATAGACAAGGAACTAAATGAGTCTCTGCTCCACCTAAACTGACAGTTTTTGCCTACTTCACAGTAAAACACTTCTGTCATCCATCTCAAAAAAAAAAAAAAAAGAGGGGAAAGAAAAAGAAGAGCCACAAGCTCCCTCCCCCGCTGCTTGTGCAACTCCCCAGACATGTTTCCACTTTGGGATTTAGGAAAAGGGGGAACACAGACATTCACTGCATTGGTCTTTCCCTCTCCCTCCCTCTGCCCCTGTGAGCTATGGGTTCAGCAGAAAAGAAAGCCAAGCTGCAGCTTCCCTCCAGGAAGGGTGTTGGAGCAGGGCTCCAGTTGGAGCAGGTGCAGCAGGGTCTGCACCTTGTCTCTAATCTCCTCCTCATTAATTGGCTCTGTGCATATCCCAATAACAAGTGCCACTGTGGGTGGCAGCTTCCTCAGCTCTTAGGCACTCACTCCATGAAATTCCTCACCTGCTGACTTCTGAAACACCTTCTTGGGGCTTCAGACACTCAGAGCTGGAGGTATTTATTCTGAGCAGTGATTACATTTTTATTTGGTTAAAAAAGACTCAGAAATATTGTCTGGGGTCTGTTCTACAGGGTCTTTACAACCTCAGTTTCTCAGCTCTGAATGACAACACCTTTCTACTCCATCAGGATGTCCTACAGCTGCATTTCACCTCATTCCAAGGGCTTCCAGGCATTGTAGGAACGGGGACAATCAGCCACACTTCTGCTTCTGCCCATGCTTTGAGGATCAGTACAGACACAGCAGCACTATGGGAACAAAGGGAATCCTACAGCAGAAATCATTCTGTTCCTGGCTGATGATTCTTTGGGCAGCCAGAACAAGACTGGTATTTTTTTAGACACAAATGTGAGAAGTATAACCTACTATTTTGAGGGACACCTACAGAGAAGAGATGGTATCATGAAACTCAGTCTTGTAACTTCTGGGATTTGTGTCTCTTGTTTGAAATAAACCATACTGTATTAATAAAGTATTTTTTTCTTTTTTCCCCCCAAAAAATCTTTTAAAGAGAAGTAAATGCAACAAAGTCATGGAATGAAACCTGACCTGGGACTATAAATATCTCTGTGTACCACCCTACCTGGCAATCTCTCACATGGAAAAAGGGACCCTTGCTCCTCCCCCATGCATTTCCAAACTCTGCCAAGGATGAGAATTCCCACTGAGCACAGGAGCATGTTCACCCTAACACAGCTATGCACAATGGTGCCTGAGACCACTAATAATAGCTCTTTAAATCCTGCACTGATGAAGTAAGCACACAGAGTTTATTTTTATATTTTTAAAGAGAGTAACACATGCATATGCTGCAGAGTCAACAGAGACTGCCTGCTCACAGAACACAGAGACATTTTTGGCTGTTGCTTCCAAGGACACGACTGTGGGTGTCTCCCCCTGTGTGTCCTCTGCTAACAGCAAGAAGAATTGTGGTTTTACAGGCAGGTGACCCTCTGAGGAGGGCACAGGAGGTTAATTAAGGGACCAGCAGTAATAACAGCCCTTCTCTTGCTGTGCTGTGTGGAGCTATACCCAAGTTCTGCATGTAAGAATCAATCTGTGGTGTAAAAAGAGATCTAAGACTCACATTAATCCAAGGGTGATTCATAAACTGAGAGACTGTCATCCTCTCTGTTGGGTCAGTCTTCAGTAAATGGCGAATGAGTTGTTTGGCTGAAAAACAGAACCAACAGGGCATGGTGTAGTCCAGGACTGCATTCCCAAATAACCTTGGGAACACAAGCACCTGCTGAATGAAGAAACACCATTCTGCAGGACTGAAAACACCTCCCAGTTGCTGTGACTGTGTTAAGAAGTCATGTACAGTGGGGTGGGTTACTGTGTTTAAAGGGGCAAAACAGGAAAACATCC